AAGCCTCCATGAAGGGGCTGGGGACTGACGAGGACTCCCTCATTGAGATCATCTGCTCAAGGACCAACCAAGAGCTTCAGAAAATTAACAGAGCCTACAAAGAAATGTACAAGACTGATCTGGAGAAGGACATCGTTTCTGACACATCTGGTGACTTCTGCAAGCTGATGGTTGCCCTTGCAAAGGGTAGAAGAGCAGAGGATGGCTCTGTCATTGATTATGAACTGATTGACCAAGATGCCCGGGATCTCTATGATGCCGGAGTGAAGAGGAAAGGAACTGATGTGCCCAAGTGGATCAGCATCATGACTGAGCAGAGTATTGTCACCTCCAGAAAGTATTTGAAAGGTACAAGAGCTACAGCCCTTATGACATGCTGGAGAGCATCAAGAAGGAGGTCAAAGGAGACCTGGAAAATGCTTTCCTGAACCTGGTCCAGTGCATTCAGAACAAGCCCCTGTATTTTGCTGACCGGCTATAAGACTCCATGAAGGGCAAGGGGACTCGTGATAAAGTCCTGATTAGAATCATGGTCTCTCGCAGTGAAGTGGACATGTTGAAAATTAGGTCTGAATTCAAGAGAAAGTACAGCAAGTCCCTGTACTACTACATCCAGCAAGACACGAAGGGTGACTACCAGAAAGCACTGCTGTACCTGTGTGGTGGGGATGACTGAGGCCCACGACGGATGAGCACCCAGCAGTGGTGCTCCTTTGTTTCCAGCTAACAGTTCTAGAAAATAGCTTGTGACTAACAGACCCCTTATGCCTGTCCCCATGAGGATAGTGTTAGCATCACCCCCTCCCCATCCTTATGTCAGTTGCCTAAGCATTGCCTGCATCTCATGTCTAGTCTCTCCTTTTAGCCAAAGAAATGAACATTCCAAGGAATTGGAAGTGAAATCTATGATGTGAAACACTTTGCCTCTTGTGTACTGTGTCATAAACAGATTCAGAATAAACTGAATTTTTACTTTATAAACAACAACAACAAAAAAATTGATCTCACCTGTCAAATTCACTCTTTATGTCTTTCAATTTTGGTCACATATTAACTTTTCCAAATTATTTCTATTCTGTTTTTTAAGGTTCCTCTTCAGTTTCAAAAAGTTTCTCAACAGTTTTTCTCTTTATTGCTTTTTTTTTCTTTTTAACTTTTGTCTTCCCACACTACTTCATATATAATATGCCCCTGTTATGGTCTATTACTCTGCCTATAATTTTAAGTTTCTGGTTCAAAATAACAAGCAAAACAGTACTAAATTATAAGCTGTGTAGGTTTTGTATTACTGTGTGAAAGGCATGTCATTTTGTATTTTTACCTTTTACTACAGCAAATTAAGTAACACAGATTGAACCATTTCTAATCAAAAAACTTCCTGTTCTTTCCTATCTATTTTTGCATCTCTTCTGACATAGTCTTGACATATCTTTTTCTAATGTCATTAATCTTGACTCTGTTCTATACCTGTTGTATAACATCTTACAGTAGCAATTCTGGGCCAGCTAGAATATTCTCTGTATAAAATATCAGAAAGAAAAAAAATTTAAAACATTTACAAAAGGCAATTCTTTCCATAATGTAATATCAAAAATACAAATAGCTATCTCATTTACTCAACATATTTGAAATCACCATAGTAACAATGCCAGGGAAACATAAAGAAAACAATAAAATAAAATGGCAGACAAAAGAGGTTTTATTTAATTTAAATTTGAAGATTAAACTCCCTAAAGTAGACTTTGTCTGCTTTTCCTCATGAAACAATGACTGTATAACATTTTGTTTGTAGTGTACACTGTGGTAATCTCCCCCACGGTCCTTGCACTCCTTTCCTTTGTGTTGTGGCCAACAATCACAAATCCACAGAGATGGCCCATCATTGTTTAATTCAATCAAAGTAACCTTATTTTTCTTGCCATAGTGGATTCTATAGCAAAGGGACTGGATCAGCAATAAATATATAACAGAATTAAGGCCAATGAGACCTAAGAATAAGTTAGGACTTTCAAGTCCTTCCCAGAAAAACAAAGAGTTTTTGTTTAACTTCCTGTTTTTCTAATATGCACAAATATATCCATGTACTATAATGATCATGTCTCAATGTCAGACAATTTAGATCATATCTCAATATCAAATACATTAGAAGAAAGTAACACAGGGCTGTTTTATGAAAGCAACACCTTGATTTTGGGAATTCAAAGAAACCTTGAGAGATTATGTGAAAGATCTTTGAAATATATAAAGCATGCCATAATAAAAGATAACAATTTCTCCTCAATTCAATACACTGGGAAATTATATTGAGTCTTTGGTTCACTTGTATTATTTTTATGTATTGTTAATTCAAGCTTAAGTAGGCTCCTGGTGACTTACATGATATATAAGACTCTCCGATGACACTATCTGCCTAATTCATCGAGTCGAACAATGCTGTGTGACTCTCAAGACCTTTCATAATCTGGGTCCTCCATGCTCTCCCTACTCTACTTACATACTGTTGGCACTCCCTCAGGTGTACCTGCAGTTTCAGACTCTTCACAGCTCTGCTGTCCCTCTCCTCACCCTCTCCATATGTACCATCTTAATCTTTGCATCTTTACCTTTTGGTCAAGCCCTCCTGCACCCCCTGCAAGAATGAAACTCTTCTCTACAATGGTATTTGGCTCTTTGGCTCTGATTACACATTATCATGCTTTTGCCTCTAATGCTTCAATTTTCTCTGTGATTAGGTGGTTAGATCATTGAGAGTAAGGATTGAGATTGATTTCTCTTGTACCCACCTAAAGCCTCAAACACTGTGTAGTAATATAGATATTAAATAAATACTTGATTGATAAACCATGTTTTTTACTATTTGTCTTACAGAATCTGTTGCATGGATCTAGAAAAAGACTAAATAACTAGATTGGCTTAGGGCTCTCAAGATTCAACAAATAAAAATACAGTATGTCAAGTTAGATAACTATTTTTTTAGTGTAAATATATCAAATGCAATATTTGGGGCATAATTATACCAAAAATTTTCTGGTTTTTAAAAAAGTTTAAAATTCAAATTTCAATGGATGTCCTTTATTTATCTGGCAATCTTCGATGGAGCTGCTCTAAAAAAATACTTATTTTTCTAAATTAGAGCTAAATGTCACATTTATGAGTCGTTTAAACCTTATACCATTTTGCTAATCAAGTCCTGTAGTACATAAAGTTCTCTGCCTTGTTCTACCTGGCAGTGACAAGAAAGAGTTTGAATAGCCATTATGTGAAAGTCACCATGTGTGTGTACAGGGAGGCAAAGATGAATAAGATGCCATCTCTGCCCTCAAGAAAGTCTTTGGGAGAAACTGCCCATTTCATGCCAACCTTTACTTGATACACATCTGTATGGCAATCCATACAGTTAGAACTTTTTTTTAGGTCTGACCCAGACCTCCTGGCCCCAAATCCAAGACAACACTATATACTTTGGTTGTCAAAAATGAAGTACATTGGTTTTGAAGTACACATTAAATCATTCCTGCCTCTGAAGTATTATATTAATACCATTTATAATCCTAAGTGAAAATAATTATTCATGATTTGGTTTGATCAGCACATTATTCTCAGAATTTGATAATGAAGTGAGTTTTTATTATGGAAGTTTCTTTTCCTGGTTCCTGGGTATTTAATATGCATTTTTTTAGCATAAGCAATGGACATGTATTGCAAGACATTTTTTCCCTCTGAGCCATTGGGTAAATCCTTCACAGGTAAATGCTATGCTGACTACTTAATGTGAGTCACTTATTTAGATGATCATTAATATATAGTGGTTTAGATTTTGAACCTCTTTGTTGTGTGGCCCTGGTCTGTGTTAGCTAATCTTTTATCATCCATTCTTTTCTGCAGTGGAAAACAGGAGACAGAAGGTATTTTCTTTGCATGCAGAATGTCATAATGGCAGTGTGTGTTTGCAAAGTTTGATATTAGTTAAATTTTTAGCTATACTATGCTTATACTTATATGCCATATATTCAGTGTTGTCTGTAATAATCAAAGATGCCAAATTCCAGAAATAACAGCATGTTTTTCATACTAGTATTAATTCTGTGTGTGGCGTGTGTGTGTGTATGTGTGTAAAAGTATTTCTTAGACTTAGAACACATAATTCAAGGTTTTAAAACAATGTTTACTTAACGTACAACATAAAAATTTCACTTCTAGAATAGAGTGTCATATCTTCCCTCTCTTTTCCAAACATGATCTCAACCCACCGATATTGATCTTAATCTGTATTTTCATGGAGGCCATTTTAAATTAAAATAAGGCATAATTCAGGGGTGCCTGCGTGACCCAGTGGTTAAGTGTCTGCCTTGGGCTCAGGTCATGATTCCAGGGTCCTGGGATCGAGCCCTGTGTTGGACTCTGCCCTCAGCGGGGAGCCTGCTTCTCCCTCTCCCTCTGCCTCTCCCCCTGCTCGTGCTCTCTCTCACACTCTCTCACTCTCAAATAAATGAAAAATAAAATCTTTAAAAAATAAATAAGGGGCACCTGGGTGGCTCAGTTGTTAGGCGTCTGCCTTCGGCTCAGGTCATGATCCCAGGGTCCTAGGATGCAGCCCCTCATCAGGCTCCCTGCTCTGCGGGAAGCCTGCTTCTCCCTCTCCCATTCCCCCCCTGCTTGTGTTCCCTCTCTCACTGTGTCTCTCTCTGTCAAATAAATAAAAAAGAAGAAAAGAAAAGAAAAGAAAAAACCAACTCATTTTTAAAAAAATAAATAAATAAAATGAGGAATAATTCATAAAACGATTTCCATGGAGTTCAATTGGTCATACTCATCACATGAATTTACAAATGAAATGGTATTAAGAGGTACCAACAAGCATATTGGAAAAAGTTACAGCAGTTTGAAAAACTTGCCAGTTATTCAGCGAGAAGGCTATAATCAACATTATCCTTATACCAAGTCTTTGGATGTCACAAAATACTCATTTACGGTGTACATCTCAGGTTGTCAAAGATTACCTTGGGTAGCTCTTCGATTTGATTGGCATCTAGATAAAGCTCCTCTAATGTCCGCTCGAAGTTAAAGACCTCCTTCGGCACCTGCTGAAGACTGCAGTGGGAGTAGTCTAAAACTGAGATGATTTCTTCTTCACCTCGGAAACATCGGCACGGCACCAGTCGGCCGATGATTTTCCGCTTGGTGGTCATCTCCAGGCACTGCACTACAGAAACAGACAGAAAATAACTGCTTAATTGACTGAATTTGGAGGGCACTCCTGCAAGAATAGAGCCATAGAAATTTAACTTCGGTATATATTTTATAATTATGTAATACTTTAAAGTTTATAGAGGACATGCACGTGCATTATATCGCTTAACACTTGAACAGCCTTGCAAAGTATGTGAAATCAGTTTTAGTCCCATTTAACAGATAAAGAAATGGAATTCAGAGAGGTTAGGAGGTTTGCCATCATCACACAGCTTGAGAATGGCAGAATCTCGCGAGAACACAATCATGACTCAGTGCAATGCAGTTACCATGCTTACATTCTCCCTCGACACACAAATTTATAATTTTTTTTTTTAATTTTAGACAAGTTACACTGCGGAACAGAAATATCTGGAATTGGTTAGAAAAAAATACATCTTTTTCTTCCATTTCTGTAAAAATATTCAAATTTCATAAGGTTTATGATGATCTCTTTTTGATCCACAAATTCATTCCATTAATGGACATATGTTTATTGAATAACCACTATGTTCCAGGCACTGATATAGTTAGTGGGATAGAGTGATGAAATTTCACAAAGCTTCTATCCTATTGGAGCTACAGATTAGAGATGGATTGGTTATTTCCTTCAGAATGAGAACCTATCTTTATGAATCTTATGATTTTAATGGGAGAAAGCAACTTATAATCATGGTAGAAATTTCTGTAACAGCTTTCTCTAGGTTAAACTTACCAATTGCCATGAAATCTTGCACAGGCTTGTACCATGTCACTTACAACACTTTATTAAATCTACTGATTTTCATGTTATTCTTCTAGACTATAAGTCTCTTGAGAGTAGGAACCGTGTTTTATTCATTTTGCATTTGTCTTGCTTGACATACAGTAAATATTTAATAACAAATGTAGAATGAACAAATGAATTTGTATGGAACCACAAAAGACCCCAAATAGCCAAAGCAATCTTGAAAAAGAAAAGAAAAGCTGGAGGCATCACAATTCCAGACTTCAAGCTATATTACAAAGCTGGAGTGATCAAGACAATATGGTACTGGCACAAAACAGACACATAGATCAATGGGACAGAATGGAAAACCCAGAAATGGACTTACACTCTATGGTCAACCAATCTTCAACAAAGCAAGAAAGAATATGCAATGGAAAAAAGATGGTCCCTTCAACAAATGGTATTGGGAAAACTGGATGGCTTTGTGCGAAAGAATGAAACTGGACCACTTGCTTAAACCATACACAAAAATATATTCAAGATGGATGAAAGACCTAAGTGTGGAAACCATTAAAATCCCACAGGAGAACACAGGCAGTAACCTCTTTGATGTTGGCGGTAGAAACTTCTTACCAGACATATCTCCAGAGGCAAGGGAAACAAAAGCAAAAATAAACTATTGGGACTTCATCAAAATAAAAAGCTTATGCACAGCAAAGGAAACAATCAACAAAACTAAAAGGTAGCCTACAGAATGGGAGAATATTTGCAAATGACATATATGAAAAAGGGTTAGTACCCAAAATCTATAAAGAACTTATAAAACTCAACACCCAAAAAACAAACAATACAATTAAAAAATAGGCAGAAGACATGAATAGACATTTTTCCAAAGAAGATATATAGATAGCTAACAGGCACATGAAAATATGATCAACATTACTCATCATCAGGGAAATAAAAATCAAAATTACAATGAGATATCACCTCACACCAGTCAGAATGCCTAAAATTAACAACACAGAAAACAACAGGTGTTGAAGAGGATGAGGAGAAAGGGGAACCCTTTTGCACTGTTAGTGGGAATGCAAACTGGTGCAGCCACTCTGGAAAACAGTATGGAGATTCCTCAAAAAAGTTAGAAATAGAACTACCCGACAACCTAGCAACTATACTACTATGTATTTACCCAAAGGATACAAAAATACTAATTTGAAGGGATAAATGCACCCCGATGTTTATAGCAGCAGCACAGCAATAGCCAAATTATGGAATGAGCCCAAATGTCCATTGACTGATGAATGGATAAAGAAAATATGGTGTGTGTATATATACAAGGGAATATTACTCAGCCATCAAAAAGAACGAAATCTTGCCATTTGCAACAACATGGATGGAGCTAGAGACTATTGTGTTAAGTGAAATAAGTCAGTCAGAGAAAGACAAATACCGTATGACTTCACTCATATGTGGAATTTAAGAAACAAAACAAACGAACATGGGGAGAAAAGAGAGAAGCAAACCAAGAAACAGACTCTTAACTATAGAGAACAAACTGAGGGTTGCTGGAGGAGAGGTGGATGGGGAGATGAGTTAAATGGGTGATAGGTATTAAGGAGGGCACTGGTTGTGATGAGCACTAGGTGTCGTATGTAAGTGATGAATCACTAAATTCTACACCTGAAATTAATATTACACTGTACGTTAACTAACTGGAATTTAAATAAAAACTTGAAACTAAAAAAAAAACAAAACAAAAATACAAACAAATAAAAAATGAATTCATGAATGAATAAATGAATATATTTAGGGCTCTCCTCCCTCCCTCCCAATCACCATCAGCTATTGACAATTTGTTGGGAAAACTTCTCATTCTAACTAAAAGGTCACTACCTCTGTGAATGTCTCTCCAAGAAGAATGACTAGAATCTTCCTCTGAGTTCCCAGAGTACTAATCACATTGCTTCCCAATTACATGTTCTATTTTCCCCTAGGTAAGTTCTTTGAAGAAAATATCTTGTTTTATTCATTTTTGAATTCGCAGACACAGTATAGTTTGCCAGCTACTGAGTAGTACTAAATGAGCATTAATTTGAAACATGAACTTTTTTGGTTGATTTATTTGACTTACCAATGTAAGTTTATTACTAGAAAGTGGTGTTAGTTTATAAAAACAACATAGCATTTTGTTTTTTAAATTGCTTAGGTTAAGTCAAATTTGGAGGGAGATGAGTAGAAAATGTTTAAGAGATGTTGGACATTCAGCCCAAGCCTTCCTTATCCTTCTTTTAACTCCCAAAATTAATAAAATGATATTTTGAGGACAGGTTCGTGAGTCATCACTTTTAGGTGGTTATTTGCACTTGGTATTCTGTAGAAGGCCAACCAAAAACATTAAAAAGATGACCTTTCTTCTTCATTACTTTCTATCTCTTGAACTCCTATACTTCACATTTCTAGGAGCCTGAATCACAAGGTTTTGTAACTCTTATTTTACTTGACCTTACTTGAAATCCCTGATTATCGGTTGGTGCCTTCCCAGTCTCTACCTGGGACCTAGCATATATTAGGCAGCCAATAAATGCATCCAGTAAATATCTGACACATATTAAGCACCTAGTAAATGTTTGTGCAAGTTATTACAGTTGTAAAGGTAAGTGATGATGGCTTAGATTATGAGAGTAACAGTAAGGATGAAAAGAAGTGATGGATTGGAAAGATATTTAAGAAGCAGAATCCAATGTGTTGATGATAGATTAAATGAGAGGTGGGAGGGCAGACTGGGGGGGAGAGAGAGGTGTCTTGAAAGCTTCCCAGGTTTTTAATTTGAGTCACTAGTAGTCACATCAACCACACAGCTGTAATGTCATGCCCTGTCTGCCTCTCTGACCCACAGATGGATGTACAATCCACTGTTCATGCCTGTGTTGCCCTGTGCCTAGCACTCACCCTATTGTGTTGAGCCATGTGACTATTTCTTCATACCTGTCTGTTGCTGCCACTGTAAATTTTTAAATATAAATTAAGAGGAAAAAGAATATCCAGACTTGCACCTAAACCATTTGGCCAGAGGGTGCACTGTTCACTAAGACTTTTGGAACTCTGTTCACTTAAGACTGCTTTCCCTTTCATTGCCCCAAAATGTAGGCTCCTCTGGTCATCTTTTCTGTCCCTTCTCTCATCCCCACAATGTACTGACGTTTTTCCCTGGCCCAACTTCCCTCTTCTGTACTCCCTCTGAACTCAGAATGTGCCTTATACCATGATCGATAATCCATTAAGCCTTGTCCTCTTCACTGAATGCTCCCTCATAGTCTCAACTAAAACTCGATTGACTTGTAGCCTTCAAAAGTGGAGCATGTTGACATTCTCACCCCTTAAACACTTCAGGGCTGGAAAGTGGAATTGTTATCCCCCTTGCTTTCTAAAAACTATTACTCTTCTCTCCTCTTGTAAAACCCCTCTTCCTTTGATGGTCTCATTATCTAGTAGTAACATCATACTCTCTCATGCCATTCATTTACCATCTCTTGAACACTCCTCTGCATCCATTAATAACTTTGGTATCTCATTTCTGGACTGTCTCAATCATAACTCCTTCTAATCCTGATTTAGGCTCCCTACATTAGTAACTTTCAATTTTGAGCTTTTCTTCATCCTAAATTTTTTAAATAACTTGATTATAATGCTACTCCTTAATTTTTCAATTACAGGTTTCTAACATGTAGTGTGGTGGTTTAACTTCCTGATAACAAATTCCAACACACTTCTAACCAAGCAAAAATATAGAGAGAGCAATTTTGTTTTAAATTAGTAGTATTTATTTTAACTATATGCTACTGTAATTCAATCACATTTTATTTCTTGTGCATTTTTTTGTTTCTTTAAGAATTTCCTTATTTTTTTCTTTGCTTTATTTTTCTAGGTACCTTTCATTAATTCAATTCTATATCTCCTCTTGGTATAGTCAAGTGAGTATAATCTGTCATTTTCCCCCTGGAATAATCCTTCAGGAACACCGTATTTTCTTGTTCCTCTCTGGAATGTCTGTTTTTCTAGATATGATATATATCTGTTATCCTAAAATTTCCCTTCACTATTATTCTGTGAATTTTCTATTTCTTTCTTGTATTACATCTTCTATTTTCTGAATCCCATGTCTTTTTCTTTCTGGACTTATTGGAATACAATATCCAAGGTGGAATGTAACATCTAGTAATTTACTGAGAAAGGATGAGTCTCCGAAGATGGTTTCATTTCACCCA